AGGTAGGGATAGGGCACATCCCAGGAACTGGCAGAGGCCAGGGTTTCTGGAGCTCAGAAGGGAAGTGGGGGCCTAAACTCTGCAGGGCCTCTCTGGCCTTGGGAGGGACTTTGTTCATTGTTCTTAGAGCTCTGGGAAGCCATCGCAGGGTATGCTGCTGGAGCTGACATGAGTAGGTGGAATACTGACTGGAGGGACAAAGTGGATGTGGGGAGACCAGAGACGAGGCAGTTGCAGTATCCAGGCAGGTGTGGGTATTTGGTTTAGGGGTTGCTGACCGTGTTGGAGATGAGTGAGCAGAATGGAGACGCATAGGAGGCAGACTTGGGAAGGACTGTTCTGTGAAGGGCGATAGGTGGGTGTCTGACTCTGACTTGTGTGGCAGGACTGGGGACACAGGAAGAGGTCCTTAGTTGGCTCCTTTGGGAGAGGGTAGGGGAAGAGATATAATTTGTTTTTTAGCATGTTGAGTTTTACCTGGGAATGGGGTTGTGGGGTAAAGCTGTAGTCTCTTGGTGGCTAGTGCCCACCTCTTAGCTCCCACCATGGGAATCCCCTTTCCTCTGGGGAATCTCAGACCCTCCACTTGTAAGCCAGCCTGTATTGCTACGCCTGGTCAGATCAGTGTACCAGGTTTTGAGGGCCACTTTGTCCAGCCCTGTCCTAGGCACTCACACATTATGCCACGAGACTACTCATGGGTAGTTCCAGAATCATTTTTCATGCAAGATGATGAGGCACAGAGGCTCTGGTATGTGTAATTGGCCTTCAGAGAAGGGAGAGGTGAGCCTGGGGACTTGAGGATCCTTGTGCTGTAAGCAGCTGAGATGCCATCCTTGTTGCAAGTACTTACCTTGACAGTTGGTCTTCATTAACTAATTAGTTTCTAAGACCAGGAAGATGTGACAGAGTAGCAAATATTTTTAAGGGTAGTTGTAGACAATTTTGGTAACTTTGGAGGTCAGGGAAAGGTATTAGATACAATGAAAGTAAATATAGTTGTAAGGTTACCTTGAGTCTGTCATTATGTGGGTGTCCATATGCATGTATGTTTGTGTGTATGTTAAGATTTGTGCAAAAACAGGAAATGACTCAACTTGTATTATTGGTAAAACTTGTGTAAATTAAGGACAAGAAGGAAGTGGCTTGACTTGTAGTTCAGTAGTACAACTTGTATAAATTAAGGTAGATTCTAACTTTTTAAAAATTGTGATAAACCTTGTCTTTCTGTTAAAAACAAAAAGATTATTCTTGGCTTAAATTCTCGTAAGCTCTGTGCAGATCAGTGTCTGCTGTGGTAGGGCATGGATGGCACCTCCAGGAAGGGAAGGGCACTCTCCTCTGGTCCCCTGGGGAGCAGACAGCTTTGGGAGCAGCCTCTCAAGGCCAGGCTTCTAGCTGCTTCCATATCCTTACCCACCTGGTCTCCTCACTCAGAGGCAGAGACTACTTACTCTGTAAAGCAGATACTTGTCCTCCCCAGAGGCTGCCAGACATGTCTTCTCTCCACTCTGGCCAGCATTCTGCCTTCTAGCAACAGTAAATATTATTGCTCTGCTTGGCTCTTAGCTGTGTCCTGCACTGCCTGAACACGAAACAGTGGGGTTATATGAGCAGGGTGCCACGAAACTTGGCCTGCACCCAGCACCAACGCCAGCCTCCCCTTCTCCCCTCCTCTTACTGGAATGTGCATGTTGGATTCCTGAGTGCATCAGAGGGAAGGCTCCAGAAATAGGTCTCTGTGCAGCTGCATATCCAAGGTGATCACTCCATAGGATGCAACCAAGCCTTTTGGGTTGAAGTAGACAAGAAGCACTGCTTTTTTAATGTCCTCTTCATTGTCCCAAGTAACAGAGAAGGGGTTTATCTTTTAAATTCTTAAAAAAACTTAAAATTTTTAAAATGATTTTAGAGAGAAAAAAAGTAAGGGGGGGGGAGAGAGGGAGAGGGAGAGAGAGAGAGAGAGAGAGAGAGAGAGAGAGAGAGAGGGAGAGAACGAACTTTGGTGTATAATTACAGCTAGTGATGATTACCTTCCCTGGTTCCTGTTATTGGAGGATTCATATATCAGGGAAGAAAAGCCCAGCCTTGCCTAGAACTCAAGCTTACAGAACAGAGTGCTTGTACAATGTGTCTCACTGGATCTCCTGACAGCTGGTGGGTAAGGTAGGGCTGACAACTGTCAGATGAAATGATTGAGACTTTAGGAGTAATCCTGGGTTAGTTACATATCTGGTAAATGATGTAGCTGAAACCTGAACCCAGGAGCCAGTGGAGGTTGGGGTGAGGGCTAGGGGTCGGGGAAGGGATTGTTCGGCATATAATCAGAACCCCGTGATGTGCAAGCAGAGAAGGGAGGTCCTCCAAAGCAAGCTTGAGATGCTGTCCCAGAGACAGGGGAGCAGATGCCAAACAAGCAAAACAACAGGTGCCCACTGCACCTTTAAAAAAGACTCCTCTCTGAGGCGTGAGTCATTCAAGCCCATGGTGAGTTCCCTTTCGGTTTCCAATAATTGGGATTTTCATTCTACCCAGCTGTCCTCACTGGCCTACAGCCCAGTATTGACTCCATACCAGTACTCATTACCTAATCTTCCATCAGGGGGACCGGCCTCTTTATCAGCTTTGTGGGGCCCACGTTGTTCTCAGGTTTGTGCTGTGGTGGGGCGTGCTGTGTGCCCGGGACAATGAAATCAGGTTACCTTCTGGTCATAAGCTAACAGGCCCTGCTCCTGGTCCTCCTGTGAAAGGCCCCACAAAGGCCCGGTTGTGCAGAACGAGCTGCTCCTTGATCCTCATTGGCAGCTGCCCCTGGCAGCCCCGCTTTTCAGGTGCGTGCTGGGAGCTTTCCCCAGCGTGGCTTGCATTTCGCTTTATTTCCACTTTGTTGAGAAGATTGTCCAGCTTGAGTCTTTCTTGCCCTACTGGGGGGAGGCACAGGAGGATTTTTACTGTGAGTTCTGATCGGGAGGACATTTTGACTAAAATGACACGGAGCACAGCCGTGCCCACATTCCACCTTGGGCCTCTTGGAGGGCTTTGTCTTCCACTCTGAAAGGTTGTAATTCCCTTTTCTCATCCTGCCTGCCTTCCTTCGCACAGGGTTCTGACTCTCAGCTGCATCTGTGTCTTTCTTGCCAGGGAGTGATTTATGTTCTCGGGGATCTCCTCAGCCTGGGTTGGCCAGTTTTAAGAGATGCCTGACTCCTGCCAGCATCTTGAGACTTTTTGCCAAAGGACCATTCCATTAAAGTGACTGAACCAAGGAGAGATGGGAGACTGTTGGCTGTTGTCTCCCTGTTCTCCTTCTCCACTCCGAGTGCCTTCCTCGCTGGTGTAGAGCAGAGGTCCTTGCAGGAGCCACAGCGAGCTCGGGACCTGTGCCATCTGAGCCACTGAGAGGGCTGGCTCGGAGCAGGAGCTGCTCGTATCCAATGTGGTGCCCCGAGCCCCACACCCGAGAGTGGGATGGTCCAGCCTGGCTCTCCCACTGGCAGCCATTGTTTGGAGTGAACACTCAGATTGACGAACTGAACATTGGGGGTTGGATTTGTATACAGCCCCCCCTCCCTCACCCCCCATATTAAACAGCACAATCAGAGCACTGCCATGTATGTTGGAGAGGAAACAAGCAAAATCAAAAGATGGGAAAAACCTAACCACCAACCTCAAGGGCCAAATCTGGGAACTAAAAAAGAGAAGTGCTGAGGAACATGGGTGCTTTTATTTCAGTAGGTTTTGTTGATATGTGAAGCCAGAATTCCCCACCCCCCAACCCCAATATCTTATTAAAGCCAGGCCTTGTTGCCAGTTATGCCTCATATTTCCCTCCTCTGGGAATTTGAACATAATGCCATTTCCCCTTCAATGAGGGGAACATGGACCAGGGTAATTTGAGTGATTAGCCTAATCTGCAGGAAGGCTGCACGTGGAATTAAGTTAAGCACATTTGTATTGAGCAGCCGTGGCTGTTAGGCCACTGAAAAGTACCTTGGTGGTTTTATGCCATTAGCAGAAGTTGAGGGTTCATAGAAGGATCATTGGCTTTTATTACTGACTTAAATGAAAGCTTATTGTTTACGTTTGACAAGGGCCTCTGAGAGCTTTCTTTATAGATACCACGTGTGGGGTTATACCATGTATGGGGTTACTCCAACCCCAAACATTGCCAGGTCTTTGTTCTCATGGCAGTACGGGGGCGTGGTGACCCAGGGAAATGGTTCGGGCAGACATTTGTCAGGCTGGCCGGCCTCTCTGCTCGAGCGGGCTCTGAGAACTCAGGCCTCACCTGTACTGGAGTTAGAAGGGACAGGGCAGCTCCCAGCACTTTCTCCCAGCAGTTTGTGGTATGAGTTGGACTAGTGCAATGGTTGGCAAACTGCAGCTCTCGAGCCACATGTGGCTCTTTGTCCCCTTGAGTGTGGCTCTTCCACAAAATACCGACTTCTGCGCATGGGCCATGAAGTTTCAATTGCACTGTACGTACGCGCCCGCACGTGGTATTTTGTGGAAGAGCCACACTCAAGGGGCCAAAGAGCCACATGTGGCTCGAGAGCCGCAGTTTGCTGACCACTGGACTAGGGGAGGGTATTGTTGCATCTGGCATGGGGGCAGCTTCACTGACCACGTGGAGGTTGAGTAACTGAGCCGACCTGCAGGGCTGTAGATGCTAAAGCCATACCTCCTCCCCGACCCCC